AATAAGAGGAATATAAAATCCCCACATAATCATCAATTCGGTAACATTTTATTCAATTATGATAATACTATAACATATATCCATTTTTTAAATATTATTTCTTAAATTCTAAGCAATATTCTGTAACAAATCGACTGGTTCCATTGAAAGAAGTCTTGAATAGGATAGAAATAGCCCGAACACCAGGAAAAGCGCATTTCCCGTAACAGACGGTAAAATCGTCTTCGCTGAAAACTGTCAATTGTGGAAAGTGGTCAAAATTACGAGCCACTCTTTCGCAATTTTCTTTTCATTCGCACGAATCGTATTTGGCATACTTATCTCCAGCATTGGCTTTGAAACGCTCACAATGGATTCATGAATTTTATACAAAATTCTTATTAATAGAAAAATAAATATTCTTTTCAGATAAGAGAAATAAATATGTGACAAACAAAATCAAATTCTCTCATGTTAACTTATGTGTCAGATTGATCTATTAAAATTTATTAATATTTATACAAGACGTTAAAAATCTTAGAAGTAACTAAGAGCATAACATAGAAAAATAAACTATACATACGTGTAATACTTCAGAAAATTCCGTTTTATTAAAAAAATTTAACGCGCTAAATATATCATGAATATGATATATTTAGCAGTGAAACAGTGTAAGCATTGTTTACTAAAAAATGTTATAAACATTTAGCAAGTAATTATTTGAACATTTTCCAAATAAATAAAGTATAATTTTTAAAAAATCGTTCTTTTCTCTTGAGAATTTAATTTTTGCCGCTTAAAATCTTTTTAGCGAAGTTTTTTTTTCTTAAGTATGAGATTGCAAGGCGATTATATCGAGTGTAGCAGTCTTAATTGCCAAGGTTTTTTCGAGAAAGCCGACTTCCGTTTCGTCCCGCTAGAACTCGCTATCGCCTCGACGTTCGTTTAGTGCAATACAATTAACCGCATTAATTACAGGCTTTTAATAGTGCCCCTATACCACCCTGCCGTATACCCGTCTCCCACGCTGCCGTGCGCGCGATGGCCGCTTCTCTTTTATTCGTAATAACTCGATTACCTCAGGCTTTTAGCCCACCTAATTTTCACACTCGCCCCTCTCTGAAAAGGCAAGCGTCAAAGGCTATTGCGACTTTCAACACTGTCTCACTGCGCTCACGGTACTTCACTCTATTTTATTAATTGTAAGAAGAGCCCGGTAAGAATTCTATTCTGAGAGATGGATTGAAATGTCACTTCGATTGCATTACATCGGGCACATCTTTCGTGTCTGATTCTCTTTTCAAGTTAAACGTATAATTTAATTAAAGAACCGCAGAGTTTGTCCTTAAATCGCAAAGATTTCGTTGTAAAAAGCAATGTATTTTTTTTATAGATTTGATCGATGTCTTGTCCGCGGATAATCGTATTTCTCATTCAAGACGGGAGGAATTATCACGCAATAAGACCGACGAGCATGTTCCTATGTCCAATTCTTACGGATCGCGCGCATGAAAAGAAGAAAGCGGGGCTGGTTTGTGTGCGCCGCACAAGATAAGGGGCGTTTAAGGGCCGACGGCACGGATGAACGCGTGGCGACCCGTACACGCACGCGTACGCACGCATACAGGGCGTTACGCACGATCCGCTGCCGACGAAGTCGAAGATTGATAACGTGGATGGAGGGAGAAAGGGGACAGGGACAGGCGAATGTGGTACGAAAGAAGAAGGAGCCGTGAGCGGGGAAGCAATCAGCATTTTCCTGAAAGCCAGCTCCCTGGGGTCCGCGCATTATTCTCTGGAAAAGACCGCTTCCACTCGTGCCCACTTATAAGCTCCGCTACCTTCCGTCATGACTGACTACTCCCTTTCGTTCCCTCCCCCTTCCCCTCCCCTCCCCCTCTCC